ATTATCTCAGCTTCTTTGAAAATTAGGTCACCTATTTACAGCTCAGATCCACAACTGATTTATGGCAGCTTAACAAGTTACCATCTATCATCTGAACTGCTATAATTGTCCGTGAAATTCTTTTATTGAAGTTTTTAACAAGTCGCATTCCCTCACAGCTGGGGAGGCCCAGGACCCCAGGAATGGTTATTGGCAGTGACTACAGCTCAGCTGACAGGTGTGACTTGCTGAACCACTTGTTTGATGAGTGCCTCATTCCTGACTAGGCACCGAAGTAAGGATGGAAGGGCCTAAATCTGGAACTACGTCTTTGCCAATCTTATTCTAGAAGTGCGCTCATTCTTACCTGATGCGACAAAGGAGCTGTGAACCTTGGTTTGTTTGGATTCCCCACCAGAGACCTGACAGATCTGGTTTTCTTTGTTGGCCTGCATACCACCATGGAATATGTGATAGATAGATATGTAAGTAAGGAAAATGCATTGCACCAAGGGTGGGGTTTTTTTGCATGGAGTTAAATACTGTAACACAGAATTAAAAGTGTGTTGCACACATAAAAGTCTGGGCACTCAAGTTCAGATCCTGTGAAGGTTTTGTGTGAAATGTGTTCAGCACTTGTGCGACAGAATGTGAGCAGAGGAACTGGCTACAGCTGCAGGCACTCTGTGCATAGCCCTTCCCAAATGCATGCAAAGCTGAAAAAACAGCAGAGTTTCAATTCACACTGAAGAGTGACCTTCTTACAAAGCTTTGGAAAGTCAGGTGAGATTCCTTCACTGCTGAAATTTTGTCCAGTGACTTCCGTTACTACCAGTTTAGGACCTACCCCCTTGTCTCCTGCAGCGTGAACAAGGAATGGCTTCAGGCTGGAAAAATACTTGGTGGAGGGAAAGGGATGGGGAACAGGAAACCTTTAGACCAGTTCTACAATGAAGGTCCTGGATTAGTAAGCAATAGCCTGAGAAGTAGAAAATCACCTGTGGAGTTTGTGCATCTCTCACTTTATGACGCTGAGCAGTGAAGGTCTGGGTCTTATTCATATTGATACAAATCAAAAGAAAATTCCTTGAAATTAAATGAGTGTAACAGAGCAGAGTCATAGAGGGTGATGGATATAGGCACAGCTTGGTGGAGACCATTTACTTAAGTGCTTGTTTGTCATGCAATGACAGCCCTGGAGACCACTGGCTGATAGAAGAATTCGTGATCGCCAATGGCATGTACGACCAGAGGGGTGGGATTTCATAAGCTATCCCAAACTGGGAATTTCCCCTGAGCCAGCATTATTACAGCTGCAAAAGTCTTACAAGTTGCAATGTTTTTTTATGTCCCTGGAGAAGCTGAACCTGGTTTGAGTGGAGCAAATATGGAAAGTCCGTATTTGTTCTTTCAACCAATAGAGCTTCATCTTTACTGGGAGACCCATGTCCTTCTTGCTCTCAACTGTCTCTCCTGAGCAGGAGAGTCACAGAGCTGGAGAGCACTGGTCTAATGGAACATACCACAGCTGCAGGAAGGATAAGGGCACACTGTGCACAGAAATTGAGAAGAGTCTATCACAAGGGGAATTTTGTAACTGCTGTGTTATTGAGTCCTTTCTGCTTGATCTTTACAGCAAATCTTCACGCACTCAGTTTACATTTATTTGCACTGAAATGGAGCCCACTACCTCTCCATTCCAGTTGTTGACACAGTATTTCGCGCACAATAATGAATCTGCACAAATTCAATCTGCCTTTAATGCATCTATCGAGAAGTTGTTGTAAAAAGACATACCCCAAAATCCAAACAAACCAGACTTTGTAAGCAGGTCAATAGTTCTCCTGCAAGGTAAAATGACTTGTTTTTACTGTGTGGTAAATAGAGTCCTTCAGAGATTATGACTTTATGTGAAATGTTCTAGGAATATTTCATGACCAGATTACTGTACTTTTTTTTTTTTTTACTGCAACATGTGCAATTCACTTGATGTTCTTGTGCACTTTTTTGATTTTTTTATTTCATTTTGTATGGAAGCTTTTTCACTTACCTCTCCCTTCCCATTATTTATAAAAGCTATTGTGGTTTTAAAAGTTTAAATTTGCATTGTAGTATTTGTAGTAAATAGCAGCTCTCAAATGTTATGTTTCCATCTTTCAAACAATGTATGAATAAACAAGTAGATTCTGAAGGGCTATCAGCTGTCTTGAATAGCAACATTGAGCAACCAAATACAAAAGCAATCAGAAAAAGCCTGAATCGATCCAAGGTTGAACAATTAGTAATTTTTATGTTAACCTCAGGAATGAGAGAACAGTAAATATTGCTAGAGAGGAGATAGAGTTGCTATTCTTGGCAAACTTTTTGGAAAGTCTCACACATCCCTATTCAGTGGTTTTTAATATACTTAACAATTCTCTTCTGTTCATTTGTGTTTTACTTCACTGCTGCTCCAGTTCAGAGCCCCAGCAAAGGCTACTGCCTGCCCTGGGCTGCGGAGGGAATTTCCACGTCACAAAGGCTTTTAGAGCTTTCTATAAGTAACATCAGTTTAAATCTGAGGTTAAGTGCATAAATATCTGTATGTCAGAGGTAATTTAGAACAATCTGGTTCAATCGTTCACCATAACTTAAAAACATTCTATTCTACCACGTGGAAAATGTACAGCAACATGTATTCAAATAAGAAAGAGTTTAAAAGGAGAAAAAGAAAATAATTTAATATCCAAACGGTAGAAACTTGATTTTAACTCTCTTCTTTCTATTGATTTTTTTCAGAAATAGCATTTCTAGAGAGGCTATCCACTTTGCCAAGTATTTTAACTTTGATAGAAATCCATATTTGGGTGCACTTTCAAATTTTCCTTTGAACCCAGGCAGGAACACTTGTAAACAGCAATCACTAGAATACCCATGCTTTTTGTTCCATGGCCTGCTCTGGTCACCCAGATGGAAATCCAGACCAACACCAAGGAGGCTGCTCTGCACTGACAGCGCTGAGCCAGAGTTCAGCATCTGGCTTCATCTGGATTACAACAGTGCCACAGAGCTATTGATCTGAGAAAGTGCCCCTATTTCCCCATAATAAATTCCTTGCCTTCAGTTCTGCAAATTAAGAGTCATTAATTCTTCCCAATTACTTCTTCTCCCAATAACTTAAATGGGGGTACTGCCTCTGGTTTCTGTTAAGTCTCTTCCTGGAGAGGGATAGAATCTCCTCATGGAGTTTTTTTTCTAAAAAGACTAGAAGGAAAAGACATCTAAGTATATTCTCATCTAACCTACTATATTTAACCCTTAGATCAGTACTTTACTGGTTTGCATGTAATTGCAGGCATGTGCTACCAAGGCCATTTCCTGCTCTCACTCCCGTAGGAGTAGTCTATATAGGGCTTTATACATATATTAAGGGCTGGCAACAGGGAGAAAGCAACAAAAGCCATTTCCATTTATACTTTTGTCCTGCTGGACTAACGCATTGCAGACACATTGGTAGGACATATTGTGATGTTTGGGGAAAGACTGAGCTACTTTTAGCCTAAGAGCAGTTCATATCCTAACGAAAGTTGCAACCTGGTTATATAACACCAAGCCCCATTAGAAGGTCCAAAATTATATTCTACTGCTGCTTAAGATACTAATTTTTTCATGACTGCAGTGTGATTGGAAGAACTGTTGCCTGGTTTTCTCCTTACAGAGACACCAAGATCCATAGGGCTAGCCGGAGACCTAGCTGACTGAGGCCACTTTTTATTGAATCCTGGCAAAACTTCCCCTTGGCTTCAGCAAGAGCGGGTTCAGGCTCTGGGCGATCACAGGTGTCCATTCTTTGGCCCTTTCTCCCTGGCCCAATACATTTCTTTGACCTCAGTGACTTACTCCAGTGTAACTGAATGCATACATTGGCTTGCAATACTAAACCTTTTGGATCTCATGTTCTGTGCCTTAGAATCACTTTCTCCATGACTATGAGAAATATAACTTTAAAAATGCCCTTTTACCTTTTCTAATGTCCCTTTTTAAAAACAATTGGGAAAATACCAGGCAAATAATTTGAAGCCAGGTCTTCCATTAGCATCTTAAAATCAGGCGAGGTAAAAGATGTCTGTGAGCCAGAAATCATGGCAGGCTATTCTATGCATTTTTTTCCTCTATCTCATTTTATGAGTTTGTATTTAACTAATGCAATTTCTCATTTTTCTGTTGATGCAGAACAATTCCTAATGTGAAAATTCATCCTGCATCCAATTGCACCAGCTTAACACTAACTAATTTCCCAGCCCTGGAAGAACTACTTTTGTTTTAAATTATTCTGAGTAGACAGAGATTTCAGCCGTCATATCTACACAGCAGCTGCAAATCAAACCTGCATCTACCCAGTGTGGCAAAGATAAACAGGCTGCATTTGCAGAATTACCTTCTTTCTTATTTTTTTCTTTTAATTCTCTCAGTGTTTACATACAAGAAGAGCTTAAATCAATTCAAGTGTGGTTTCTACATTAAATACTGTCCTTCCAGTCTCTTGTATGCAAAAGGAAATGACCTGAATATCTTGACTTCTCTGGAATTACTTTAAAGTACAAAAACTCTTTGAATGGGTTTAATTCATTTCATTTTGCTGCTGTTGCCGCAGGGCAACCCCGGAAAGATGTTCCCACATGGAGGAGGTCTCCTAGGTGTTACAAGTACGGCTATGAATGGCTGACAGCCCCGCTCGCCGTGGCTCAGACAATGCCCGTCGATGAAAGAGCCCTGGTTTGCCTCACGCGCAGTGCCACCAGCTTTGTGAGGTTTATTCCCGTTTTACACTCGTGTACTGAGGAGAGCAGAGCTTGAGCAGCTTCCCAACAGTTACAAATCCACTCTAGCCCGCTCATGAGGGAAAGGGAAGAGGGTGCAATGGCTGGCCTCCTTCCCTGCGCCTCTCCACGCTACCAGCAGCTCATGCCTGGTGCCCGACCTGGTGTTTCAATTCACTCTCAGGAGCTGTTGTGTTCAGTATGACCCCAACACCCGCCTGGCTAAAGATAGCCGAAAACATTGAAGATTGGCGGAGGGATGGCGGGCTTGGTGGGGATGGGTTTCAAAACCACGGGCCTGTAGAGTTTCTGCCCCGTGCCACTGGCCTCCTTGCAGAAGTGAGGCACCTCGGCCGGCAGCGTGGCTGCACCCTTCCTCCACAGGCCCAGCTCCGGGAAGGGCGACGGGGGCAGCGCGCCTGGGGGCTGGTACACCCCTGGCCCAGGGCAGGGGAAGGGGCAGCAGGTCCAGGTGCCCACCCGGCCCGAGAGGACCTCAGCGGGGTCCTTCTCCCCAGCACGTGAGGCAGGCTCGGGGGGGCTCTCAGGGCTGGCAGCATCCAGGCTCCGTTTGGTTTTCTTCCCCTCATAAGGAGGAGGGTCCCTGGGGGCTGGGAGCCCCTCGGGGCCGGTGGAAAAGGCCCTGGCCAGCAGGCTCTGGGCTGGCCGTGGCTCTTCCCAGAAGGAGGCAGGGAGCTGTCGCTTCCTCATGGGCAGCTGATCTGGCCTGGTGGCCTCAAGGTTTTGCTCCTGCAATACCCGTTCCCCAGTGGGGCTCTCCTCCACCTCGGCTGTCTGCAGCACCTTCTCACTGGTAGCCCCACCATGAGGGCTGGGGTCAGGTGCCTCAGGCTGGGGGCCGTGGCCCCGCAAACTCGGCCCCCCTGCGCCAGCCGCACTCAGGGACTTTGCTGGGGTGGCACCGTGGGATCCGTGAGTACTTCTGAGAAAAACGCTTGAGCTGCTTCTGCAAGTATTTTCTGTGGTCAACTGACCGGCGACAAGGAGCCGATTTGTCCAGAGCTGCCTTGATGTCGCTGGAAGCCAGGTTGACAAAGTTCAGTAGAGTTTTTACCTCACTGTCCGATGCCATCTCACTGAATGCCTGGTGCAGATTTTCCCATGAAAAGTTTATAATCCACCTTCAGACAAAGGTTGGCAAACCTGCAAAACACGACAGGCAGACTTAAGAGCAGGAAGACTCGATTCAAACAGCACCAATCAAAGGGAGGGAGGGTGAGGAACACATCAGACTTCCCAGCCACACAAACAAGTTGTCCCTCAGCTTGCCCCCGTGCCGGCAAGGTCCTGGAGAGCCATTGCGTACCCGCAGCCCACCGCCCCACACCGCTGCCCCAGCGCACACCGGCGCAGGGACTGGCTCGTGAACACTGGCCAGCCTGGTGCCTAATCTCGTTAGGTAGCGCTTGGAGGGAAAGAAGCCGTGGCGGCCGCTCCCGCCTCCCTGTAAGCAAGCGCGGACACTCACCCG